AAAAAAAAAAAAAAAAATGATCATATGTTAGGATATAATCAATTATCAAGAGTTATGATAAAAAATTAAATACACAGCAGCAACGGCTGTATCCAATTCGCGATACACTGTAATGATTGGGTTTGAAGCTATGCAAAAGAAAAAGAATAGAAACGCTTGCAGAACAAAAACATCTTTTCCAGCTCGAATATAGTTATTGATTGTACAGCTACATTTCAGCTCCATCAATTGTATTCTACGGGAATGACATATGGAATACTATTCTTGCTGAGGGGAAAATTAGTGGTAACTTAATGAATTATGGAGCTACTCATGGTTGGTGTCTGCAAGTTACAGTGCACTTCGAAAGTACTGCTGTGCGGTCTAGGCGAACGATACAGTAAGGGGAAAGCTGGGCTGGTGTTCAAGTGTGAGAGATAGCAGACGGCCGAAGGGAATTGAAGATACGCACACATCAACAGGAAACAGTGCCGTTAGTGCAATGGATGAATTCACTTACACGACCCGATGGAGTTACTGCATTGAAAAAAGCCCAAAGTAAAGAAGAAAGAAGTTGCCAACTGCACCAATGTGCTGAAGAAACATACTGATAAAGCAACAGCTAATCGAAGTAATAAAGTAAGATCATTACCTGAAGCATGTTTTTAAAAAAAATGTTCTTGGATGTAAGCTCATTTCGTAACTCTGACCATAATTCAGTTTGCAGACTACGAATCGCAATATGAGGGATTAATACGGGCGCTTACGCTAATCTGCACGGGCACAATCTCACTTGTGATCATTGTTAACACCATTACATGCGCAGAACTCTTCCCAACTGCTGTTCGGAATCTATCAGGAGCTAATATTGCCACATGGGGTCGTTTTGGAAGTATCATTGGGCCGCAGCTTTTTTATTTGGTTAGTGACTCTTCCTGCTCGCTATTGTTTCTATTTTTTTGGCACCGCTGCTACATCAAAAACTCACTCCAGACCAGGGTCAGTCGTTGTGTATCCGCCTGTTTCCCAAATATTACATTTTCAGTCTTACAACAGTCAGGAAACCGTAATTTTTTGGTCCTCGGTTAATTAAGAATTCAAGAAAATAAAATCAACTCCCACAGCATCCTGCGCTTTGACGCACCAAATGAACCGATCCATTCGAACCGCTGCGGAATGAAACGTATACGAAGAGGATCAGCGAAAAAAAGAGCAATTCGGTTTTCCACTGTTAAACCGGCAACACATAATCAGTTGCGAAAAGTCAACTCGGTTATCTTGCTGAGATACGAAAACTTCCCTGCCTAGAAAGGTTCAGGAAAAGCGGGTTGTGGGTTCCATTAACTGAATGAGGGACAGAGATGTAGGGAAAGGGAAGCGAAGACAGTGATTTGAAAGAGAAAGTGAAGGTTTTTTAGTTCAAATGAACAGATAGACGGCAATTTACATCTGTAAGGAGATATAGAAGTAATTTAGGCAAGGCGAATAGAAAGAGCTGGCATGGACAGATTTTTTAGGCCACGCTGCGGTCACGTCAAAGTTCGCATTTGGTAATATGCTGGTTCGAAAACTAAACGGAAAACAATAGCTGTAGTTTTGTCAGAGTATTTATCATTCATATAGGAAATCGTAGTGAAGTAGTTATTTCGCTTACTGGGCAAGCTGCGAAGCTGGAATTTTGCAAGGATATTCTACATTCAAGTATAACCTTAATTCAATTTGGGGGTAAAATTTCCAGTACGCAGACATGATAAATACTCATTTTTATCGCAAACTCATAAACGAGTGCGTTTTGCAGATTTCATAATCCTCTTCGAATTTTCTTCAAATTTGCATACTTTCAATGGACGACCATTCACCAGAAAAGCGGCCGGGCTTCATGCAAAAAGCTGATTATCATGCACCTAGATGTCTGTGCCGCTCTACAATGCATCACCTTCATCCCAACTGACGCCCTTCCTCCTGCATGCCGGAAGAGGCCAAAGCGCGGCCAATATAAGCCCAAATGTTAGGCTACAGCGTAGGGATCATTCCTGCTGTTAGCGATCTGCAAGTTAGCGCAAAAACGCATGTTCGCATTGGCAAGCCTGGTGCGTCCCAGCCTGGGTTGCCTTTACATGCATACAAAAACGCATAAACATTGAAAAAAATATTAAGTGAAGGCGATGGAAATGATTAGTTGCAGAGCGAGATTCAGCAAATGCTGCCGTACATGGTACTCGTAATTTTGTTCAGCATCGATGCTCTAGTGTTTTTATCGCTACCGGAGACGAAGTCACGAGAGCTGGCCGACCAAATGCCTCCGAAAGAAGAGCTAATCTTGAACAGTTGCAAATCGACACGCACAATGAGCATCCCTATTGATGATGATGATACTAACATTAACAGCACTGGCAAGAAGCCTTGAACGTAGTATTTGCACTACTCCATGACGGTACTGTGGTACTGTAGAAGTGGTTCGGTCAGCAGCTGTTCTACTGTATTTCTTAAAAGCCCTACACCTAACATTTATTCTCTTCAGTGCTTGTCGCTTCCTTTAAAAGAACTTCTCGAATTATGTGTACACGTATAAGATCGGCGTTTAACTGCTTTTCTTGAATACAGTTGACACGAAAGGAGTCTTGTTTCAGTCTCATTTCTATTTATTTCATGGACTGAAACATTTTTGCTTAGAATTGCCATTCTTGTTTGTCCTTTTCTCGCACTGTTTTGGTTTTAAAATTATCAAATCC